AGCCCTTGGTGCCCTCTGTACCACTGCAGCAAATGACAACTCGTTTGCAGTCTGGAATACTTAAACCTAACCCTAAATATGTGTTGCATGTTTCTACTGATCTTTCTTGTGTTAAACCAATGTGTTATAGTCAAGCAGTAAAGAAACAAGCATGGAGGGATGCTATGGTTCAAGAATTCAATGCTTTGCAACGTTGTGGTACTTGGAAACTTGTTCCTTATCATCCTAAAATGAATTTATTGCCAAACAAATGGGTATTCAAGATCAGAAAATGGGCAGATGGCTCGGTGGAGAGGCACAAGGTAGGTTGGTCGCCAATGGGTTTCATCAACAGGCTGGAATTAATTACACAGAGACCTTCAGTCCTATGGTCAAGCACAGCACCATTAGACTTGTCCTCAGTTTAGCATTTTCAAAAAGATGGCATGTAAGGCAACTGGACGTACAGAACGCATTCTTGCATGGATTTCTAAAAGAGGACATATATATGCGACAACCTGTTGGCTTTGTTGATCAGCAGTATCCAAATCATGTGTGTAAATTGCAACAAAGCATATATGGTTTCAAACAAGCCCCCCGAGCATGGTTCCAACGTTTTTCAAAGTTTCTTCTTCAACTAGGGTTTCACGCTTTGACTTGTGATTCCAGTTTATTTGTTTTCAATCACAGTGTGATCTATTTGGTTTTATTGATTTATGTGGATGACATCCTGTTGACAGGAAATAGTCCTCGTCAAATGTCAAGCTTAATCAAGAAATTGGGTACTTTATTCTTGATGAAAGACTTGGATCCTCTACATTACTTTCTGGGGGTTGAAGTTAATTATTGTCGGCAACAAATGGATCTCAATCAGACCAAGTATGCTTTGGATTTATTGAAACGTACAAAGTTTTTGGATGCCAAACCGATTTCTACTCTTGTACCTAGCAGTCACAAGCTTAGTGCTTATGATGGTGAGCCACACGACAATCCAAAGATGTACCACAGTGTTGTGGGTACATTACAATATTTGACAATCATGAGACCGGACATTTCCTATGCTGTGAACCAGGTGTGCCAGTTCATGCATTCTCTTAGGAGCACACATTGGCAGGCAATCAAGCGAATTCTTCGTTATGTAAAGGCCACATACAATCATGGTCTTGTATATAAACTTGGTACTGCACATCTCACGGCTTATTCTGATGCTGATTATGCTGGCAATCTTGATACAAGACATTCAACTGGTGGTTTCTGTATTTATTTTGGGTCCAATCTCGCGTCATGGAATTCTAAGAAGCAAAAGACAATTAGTAAGTCGAGTTCAAAAGCTGAATATAGGCAGCTTGCTTATATAGCTATAGAACTTTCGTGGCTCAGGTCTCTATTTCGAGACTTACACTTGCACCTTGACAGACCCACAACTTGGTGCAACAATATTTCCTTCATTACCCTTGCTTCTAATCCGGTGTTTCACTCACGGACAAAGCACTTGGAGGTTGATTATCATTACGTTCGAGAGAATGTGGTTCGACGTGAATTACTTGTCAATTTCTTATGTTCTTAAGATCAGGTTGCTGATCTGTTCACAAAAGATTTGTCATCAACAAGGTTCAAGCTTCTTGTTTCCTAGCTTCCTATTGTTCCTCCACTTGTTAGCTTGCGGGGGGATGTTAGACCAAGTCAGAGTTTGTGACATGCCCCGATCTTGATATTTCCCCGAATACTAGGATAGGCACGTGCTGGCCGACACCCAAGGGTAACGAAATTCATTTATTGAATGCAATTGTTGAAAACAAGGAATAGATAAAATTCATAATTGTAAAAGAATAAGAAATATGCATTTAAGGAACGTGTTCAGAGCATACAACTAACTAGAACACTAAAAGAAATAAAATAAAATTGAATGAAGCAAATGATGAATCTTACACCAAGAAGACTCGAAGATGCCGATGCGGAAGTGGCTGGATGTCGGAATTGTATGCCTCGATTCTAAGTCTTGAAGGGAGCGCAAAACAAACATGAGTGGACCAAGTTGATATATATATATAATAAAACAGTTATCAACGTACTAACCCCCATGTTTTATGAAAACACATATATATATCATGATAAACATAGGTTTTCAAAAACCTAGCATGCCGTGCAATGTCTCAAATCATAACTTGTATATATAATAATCACTAGTGAATTGTCCGATAACCCCTAGGTCCCATGCCAACTCCCCGTCTCTGAGCAAACAGTCAGAGGAAAATACACTTCAAGCCCCATGCCGGCTCTCCGTCCCTGTGCTAAATAGCCAGAGGAAACACAATCCAGGCCCTATGCCAACACCAAACCGTCGCCCAGGACGGACCGGAATCTATCCCTACATCCCGTAGCGGAAAGGACCACTAGGTAAGTACAAAACCATTGAACATATATATATTGAAAAGCAACTTCATAGTATAAAGTTATCCATCATCTATACTATAAAGAGGTGTTCGAAACATGTTCTAAATATCATATCGTCATCCATCGGATATTCTATAAGAACATGGGTTATAGGAAAAATAGTAATAATTCAAACTAGCTTTAGTAAGCATGTTATCTCAAAGCATTTCATAAAACATAATCATGAAATCATGTCTTTCATGTATGCATTTCTACTATTAAAACATGCATTTTTAGAAGGGGTCCACTCATAGATACTTAGCCGCCGAAGAGCCACGCAAACTAGCTACCACGAAAACATCACAAATATTGCCCCTAAGCACATAAATGGTACATTTAGTCAAACTCTACTCAAACGATTGAATTTGGGAAAACAGACTTCAAAAACGAATCCAGGACGTCGAAGTTAGCATAGGAGGGGTTCCGGATGAAATCCTGAAAAGTCAACCCTAAAAGTCAACGTTGACAGTTGACAGATCAAAGTCAAAGTCAACGGATCAAAGTCAACAGGTCAATCGGTTTGGTCAAACGTGATCGGCTGGTTTAAGGTTAGGGCTTAGGTTTAGGGCTTTAGGGTCTACGGTTGGACTTAGGGGTTTAGGGTTTATGGGAAATAGGGAAAAGGGTCTAGAATTTGGGTTTTAGGGTTTAGATAAATAGGTGGGTTAGGCTTAGGGGTTTTAGGATTGGGTTAAGAGATCTCTGGGCTTGTGCCCAGACCCACACTGCCCGAGGGCCTAATTCGAAAGGGTTTAGGGTTTTACATAAGGCCTAAAGGCTTTGGTTTAATAAATAAAATAAAAACAATTTAAAATAAAGGATTTGGATTATAAAGGGTTTTTGGGTTAGGTTGAATGGCCCAAAGGCCTTTAATAAATAAATTAAAACAAAACAAAACAAATAATAAAAAGGGGCTTGGGCTTTGGTGGAAACGGGCCAAAGACCGACATTCTACACGGCCCCAAGGGCCTGGTTCGAATGGGTTTAGGCCCAAAGGCCTTGGTTTCTTGGTCCCGCCGAAGAAGAAGGCCGGAATTCGGCCGGAAACTTCCCTAACTTTAAACGTTCATAACTTCGTCAATACTTACGAAATCAAGTGATTCAAAAACAGAAATTGTAGCCCTCGAAGAGACGAAGAGAATGGTACCTCAACGTTGTCTAACTCACCGTGGTTTGACCGGAAAACGCCTCGAAAGCCACTGAGGTCGCCGGAAACTAGGTAAGATTCAAATGGATATAACTTCTTCAATACTCAACAAAATTGGGTGAAATAAAAAGGAAAGTTGTAGTCCTCGGCAAGACGAAGAGATTGATACCTTGCACGTCGACCAAATCGCAGTGGTTTAGTCGGAAAATACCTCGAAAGTGACGGGTTCCTCGCCAGAATCTGGAAAAGGTTTTACCAAGTTGGTTTCTGTATAAAACTCACACAAACTCGCGTGCAAGCTCAAGATCGTGCTAGGAATAGAAAAACTAAAATGAAACGACGTGATATGGTCCTTACCCAAGGTCGGGGATACGAGGCTCGTCGAGAGATTCGTCAGGGACGACGGCTCTGCTGCGATGAGTAGTAGGGGTGATAAGGGTGATAAGGGTGAGTTAGTTTAGGTTACAACTCTTTTAAATGTTTGTTGTTTCTCTGGTATGTTTCTTTTGTATAGGTTGTTGTAATATTTGAATTTTGAATAGCCTTGTAAATAGGGATTTCTTTCCCTGATGTAATCTGAAATGCAATATAAATACATGCAGCCTCTCTTTGAAAGGGCATGCAATTGAAGTGAACTCTTGAGCAATCTTAAGTTTTACAATTGCTACACCAATTTCGGCTAATTTGTTTGTGTGAATTTTGAACCTGAGTTTCTTACATTCTTCAGAGACAAATTTGAACCTGAGTTTTTTTTAAATACCATGTATTTTGAACCTAAGGGAACTTTTTTTAGGAAGGGTGTGTTTTATGCCAGCTAGTGGTTCTTTCAGAAGGTTAGACAAAAGGACAGCCAAAAATCAAAACAAAAGGAAGAACAAAATGTTCCTGAATATTTTTAGAGAAGTACGGAGGGTTTAAAATGATGGATTATTTAAAGGGAGTTTTAACGAAAAGCTCACGGTACTGTTCATTTTAACGAAAAGCCACATTTTTACACTAAAAAATCAAACCTCGTACTATTCACTTTACCCTTTACATATGCCTAATTTATTATTCCTCTTTCTTAATCCAATTACGCCAATTTTTGCGTGTAATGTAGTAAAATGGCACCTTAAGTCTTTTAGTTGTTAATATTTCTTCCCATTTATTTCCTTTTTCTAAGAGTAGAGTTTAGGAGTCACTTGGTACTACGGTCTAGTGATATTCTCCTTTGATGTCTTAGGTTCGATTCTCGCTAAAAGCGAGTTTGAATCATATTATTGTTATTCCATTTGAGGCTAAGCCACCTCCTCCCTCTTAGTATAGATAATATTGTTTGTTTAAAAAAAAATATAGGATTTATGGTGGTCGTATCAGCTAACTAACTATGTGTTCTTTGTAAATGAAATGTCATAAAGGTACATGGGACAAGGTCTCATTCTCATGGAAATGCTGAGGAGGACGAAGTGATGACGGGAAGCAGAAAGCCGAGAACAAGGCTCATGAGGCAGAACAGTCTCCAAAGAAGGCCAAGTCTGATGGTGACAACGGCTATACAAATGGAAAGTCCTCACAGAATGTAGTTGCTGAGTATGAGAAGCTCTGCACAGAGGTCAAAGACAACCTTTCGACCAAACAGATGCGCGAAATCTTGGAAGCTAATGGCCAGGGCTCATCCGGCTCTGGTGCCGCTATTCTCCGAAAATGGTTAGTCTGTTTCTGTTTGCAGTTAATTTTATTTGCACATGTAATGGAGTATTGCGTGATTATGTATTCGATTCGATGTTTAGACAGCCAAGACTTGCTGTTATATGGTCCACTAGATAAATGTCCAGCATGCGATGGCGATTTGAAGTTCGATGGGATACGCTATTCTTGTACTGGATTTTATAGTGAGTGGGCAACTTGTACATTTGTCACAAAGGATCCACCAAGGAAACAAGAGCCAATCAAGTTGCCAGATAGTGTCCTCAGCTCTCCTGTATCCTATGTAATTCGCAGTTACCTCTTCTACTCTTTTTAGTCCATCTGATATGTTATGCCTTTTACTGGGATGATGCTGTCAACTTATGAGCTCATTGTGTAGTTGCTAAAGAATTATGAAGTCCCAAGTCGCCGGCCTCGTAAGGTTTTAAGCATGCCAGATAAGCCTTTTACTGGGATGATGATGTCACTCATGGGCCGTCTTAGTGCATCTCATGTATGTAACCTGCGGTCATGTTGTCTTACTGCATTTGCCAATATACGGTGCTCACTGATTATGTATTAATATTTGCAGCAATACTGGAGAAAAAAAATGGAAAAACATGGAGGAAAAGTTGCCAACCATGTGATTGGTAATTTGCATTTGTTTTGTATAGATATTTGCTGCACATGGAACTGTACTCCGTCTTATTGTTATTACAAAAACACGTAGGTGTAACTTGCCTGATTGCATCCCCTGCGGAGAGAGACAGAAGTGGCACGGGTAAACTAGCCGAAGCAATGTGCGTAATGATTTCTCTCTTTGGCCCTAAGCATTGAACATTTCTCTCGAGTTATGCAATAGGTCTTCTTGAGTGTGTTGCTATTATTGCTTCCCATAAGGAGGATGGTATATGTGGATGTCGTTTCTACAATGTCCATTAATTCGGTCCCCTTTTAGTTCCGCAATGAGAGTAGCAATGTTATTGAGAATAGCAGTCTTCTAGAATTTTAATTTGAAAGTATGACTCGAGAGTTCTGATCTTTTGCTGGGAAAGAGGCATTCCTGTAGTAAGCGAAGCATGGCTGAAAGACAGCATCGAGAAACAAGAACCCCAGCCTCTTGAAGCATATGACATTGTTAGTGATCTTGCTCCCGATGGTAGAGGAGTTCCATGGGACAAAATGGATCCAAGCAAAGAGGCACTTGAGTCCCTTTCAACAGAAGTACCGAATTTTTCCCTCAAAGATATCTATAGACTCCGTTTGAAATTTCATGTTTGTATTTATAGCTGTAATCACAACAATATCGTATTGACTGCAGCTGAAGATGTATGGGAAGAGAAGTGTCCACAAGGATAGTAAATTGCAGGAGCAAGGCGGGAAAATCTTTGAGAAAGATGGCATATTGTACAACTGCGCTTTTTCTCGTTGTGATATAGGCAGAAAACTGAATGAGTAAATTAGACCTCCTCTTCATCTATCTGAAGTTAGATGTGATGATGTCAAGTAGCCTTAATTTTCATGTTTCTTCTGCAGTTATTGCATCATCCAACTTATTACAGTACCAGAGAGCAACCTAAATTTGTACTACAAGAAAGGGAAAGTTGGCGATGACCCCAATGCTGAGGAAAGGCTTGAAGAGTGGGATATTGTGGACGACCCTGTCAAGGAGTTTGTGAGGCTCTTTGAGGAAGCAACTGGAAATAAGTTTGAACCATGGGAAAGAAAGAAGAAAATCCAGAAGAAGCCATTGAAGTTTTACCCTATAGACATGGTAGCGCTACTCATTTCCTTTTGTATGCAGTGTTATTCTGCCATATGAAATGTTTGTTATTCTGAACAGGATGTGAGGCAGGGATGGCTTGGGCTTCGCCAATTGGGATTTGCTGCCGCACATTGCAAACTTGAGTCGATGGTTGCAAATTTCATGAAGGTTTTATGCAGTCAAGAGATTCACAAGTATGGTTCGGTTTCCAGTTATTTGACTATCTCTTGTCTTTTTACTCTGAAGTCCTCAAACCAGCTGTTTCAAATGTAGATATGCTTTGATGGAGATGGGATATGACCCACCCGAACTTCCAATGAGGATGCTTTCCGACGTCCATCTAAAACGATGTAAGGAACTTCCTCGAACACGTGCCCTTGTCCCCCCTTTGACGTACTGAAAAAGGTGTGCATTCAGGTGAGGAGGTTCTCCAGAATTTCGTGGAGACACTGAAATCAATAAAGGATGCAGTGCCGAAGGCTGTGGCTGTCTGGTCAGATTTTAGCCATGGTTCACCCTCATGCACTCTACTAGGCCTTTTATCTTCAAGGACCATCAGGAACTTGCAGATAATGTAAGCAGAACCAAATCATATGTCACTTATTTGATAGTGGAAATGTCCGCTTCGCTGAGAAATCATTTTGGGCCAAAACTTGCAGGCTGCAGCTGCACTTGAAACTGTACGAGACATAACGTAGCTTCACGTCTCATTAGAGACATGGGTGGTTCTACCCTTGATGACCCCTTGTCTGAGCGGTATAACAAATTGGGCTGCTCAATTTCTCCACTGGATAAGGAATCTGATGACTACAAGATGATCTTGAAGTACATGGAGAAGACCTACGAACCTGTCAAAGTTGGAGATGTTGTAAGGATGCATGTTTATAACAGTTTCGAAATCATTATAATATATGATTTCTAGACACCTATACAAATTGACAACTTTTGCTGGTAGTGATCACAAATTCTTTTCAGGAATATGGGGTCTCTGTCGATAACATATTTGTCATCGAGTCAAGTGCTAGCCCATCTCTGGACGAAATAAAGAAGTTGCCGAACAAAGTCCTCTTATGGTGTGGTAAGATGCCTATTCTTGTTTCTTTCCTTTTCTTTCCTTCGAAACAATTAGTTTCTTTACATGAATAAGCACTTGCAAACCAAGAAATAAGGCAAATTTGAAATGCGACGGAGGCTTCGATAGGGTGAGCAGCTGGTAACCTAGTGAAGACTTAAAAAGAACTTTACGTGATAGTAATAAGTTAACATCCCACATGTTACAAAGAATAATAATTCGTAGTACTTCTGCAAAGCTTAAACAAAAACGAGGATTTTACCCTACTTTTGGTTTTTCGTGCGCAGAACACGGAGCTCAAATATGTTTAGGCACTTGCATAAGGGTTTCTTGCCTGCAATATGCTCTCTCCGTGTTCCAGGCTATATGGTATTGTAGTTACAAGTCCTATGTCGGCATGATTTAATGTGCTTGATGTTCTCTAATTGTATACTAATGCATGGATATAATGTGCTTGATGTTCTCCAATTGTATACTAAGGTATGGATTTTGACTTACAGTTTGGAAGGGGCTATCGTGTGCTCTGATGCTGCCCCAGAAGCTGCTAGGTACGGGTTTACTGCCGTGGACGGACCAGAAGGATTCTTGGTTTTAGCTGTTGCTTCTCAGGGAGACCAGATCACTTGAGGTTAAGACACCGCCCGAGGTATAATCCGAGAATATGGTTTAAATTCGAATTCTGTGAGATGTTTCCTTTCAGTTTTAACTCAAACGGAGTGCAACTCAATGACGAAGGATATCAAGTCTTTAGAAGAGAAGAAAGTAGGAGTTAAAGGCTTGGGGAGGAAGAAAACCGATGAATCAGAGCACTTTCTCTGGCAAGACGACATTAAAGTTCCTTGTGGCCGCCTGGTACCTTGAGATAGTAAAGACTCCGTTCTCGAGTACAACGAGTATGCTGTTTACAGTCCGAAACAGGTATCAATACTCAATAGAGGGCGGTCGCAGTTAAGTTTTTGAGTCGTGTTTCTCTGTTTTCTTTTGTTTCAGGTAAGCATAAGGTTCTTGGTGGCAGTGAAGTATGAAGAAGGATTAAGTGACGGAGCCGGAGGAGTGAAGGGTGGCTGGAAGTAAAGCCGAGGAGACAGTGACCTTTTTGACCTTTTCTTATGCCGTCTTTTGGATGGAATGGGAAAGAATTGCAGATGAACCTTGTTGTATGTAACGTCATGTCATTACAAATCTTTCCAGTCAATGTACTAATGGTGTTTCTCGGCATCTTTGAACTGTGAAAGCATATATGTATCTGAAGCCTCGAAGGTGGCATACTTCTACTTTAGTACGAAACATTTAAATTATTTTTCACTCTTTACCTCAATGTAAATCTGTGTGTGCAGCCGTATGTGTACATAAAATCGGTCTGATCAAAGGTGTTATCTAGTAGTCTGAGATGAGCGATTTCAGACCCACCTCAGACGAGGTGATCGGTGTGACAGGCAATCATCGGCGTATCATTGTCACAGGGTTTTAAAATACATTAGGTGCTAGTCGAGCGGCAAGTTGGGACCTAACGTCTAGACGGAAGCTTAAGCGAAGTAGGTGGATTTAAGTAAATTTATTGTATATTGTGTAAATAAGTAGCTGATAACATTTAAAAAACATACATAATAATATATAATACATACATTACAAAATAATATAACATAAATTATAAAGTTCTAGAATATATTGAATATATGGAGAACAAGCATATAATGAGTTTTTATCCAAGTATTTAACAAGTCTTTTTACATTTTATTGAAAAATTAAAATGCAATATGAAAGTTATCGATTTTCTGTTTAAGTCAAAGTCGCGACCTAGGCGGACATTGCGGGTTTAGGTGTATTTTCTTAATTTTCAAACTCCTAAAAACTAATCCGAAAGATAGCCAACCGTCTAGGCGAGAATTTTCAGAACAATGCATTGTCATATTGTTTAGGCCCAAAATAGTGGTTTGGGCCGAGAATAGAATCATTCTCGGCCCGGGAGGCCTTGCGACAAAGGGTGTTATGGATCGTTCAGTACGTGGGCCTCCAAACCTAGGTCGGCTAGGTCATGACGTAAGACAGGCCGAGTCCTAGTGCGATAAGGAGTCTCGGCAGGATTAATAACCCGAAAGCGAATCCGGTTCAATAAGGGACTAGGTTCACAGTCATAATAAGAGTAGGATTGGTCGAGTCAGTGTTTGATCAGGAGAGGAAATCCTAGTCCGAATAGGGTTTTAACCCGACCTTGGGGGATCCGTTGCTATAAATAGAAGAGGTTGTGCATCATTCAGAGCCCCCGACAATTCAACACAAAACTGCCATGCGCAAGCTTTCTCAACAACTTTGAGATTTTTTCTTTTCTTTCCTCGCTGACACATCTTCCGTTGGCATCAACAGCACTGTGGAAGCAACCGGTGATATCTTAAGTCGGCATAGATAGCTCTGTCATCGTAGAATCAGTCGGTCTCGCAGTATCTTCCGTTGGCATCAACAGCACTGCGGCGAGAACGGTTGGTTACCTATCCAAGTCTCGGTCGAGAAGGATTTCCGGATCTTTATTGATTGAGGTCATCTCGTTAGCCTCCTCGGCGAAGTGAGGTGTTACAGTATATCGAGCTCGGCGCATTGCACGCCGAGTTATTTTATGATTGGATATTCCCAAGTGGGATTTAGAGTTCGGCATTCGGACGGCCGAACCACATTCACTATTAAAACTTATATTTGCTTTCAGTATTTGTACCCTTACACTTTGGTGTCGATTCGGCGTGAGTTTACTCTGACGAAAAACATCACTGTGACTGAATCCGACGACGACGACTCGTGAATTTCGTAAGAATAGTAACCTTGTCTTCAGGTTCGAGAACCCAAGAGGCCGAGACGCGTTCCTTCCTCGGTCGCAATCGCAAGACGCAGGAGTCAGCCGCGCACCGAACGCAACATCAACAAATTTACTCCTCGGCCGAGCTCGGCCGACGAGTTGGCACGCCCGCATTCACCGAATGATGTAGTTAGCTTATAGATTACTCGGCCTGCGCGCCACGTAGGCGTGGTAGTTTCTAGGGTCAACACATATATGACAAGTTCCTCAAATGAGCACCGCGATTGAAAACAACCTCAAGACACATGACCTAGTTGTTCAAGGGCTTTCAACAAAAGCAAATTAAGTTTCAAAACTGAATGTTGATGGCGTCCTTTTTCTCCCCCACTTATTTTCTCCAGATTTTAAGCACCAAAATTGAAAACTGAGAAATAGTTATCAAACGAGTACGCAGGCAGTGGCAAAGCTACATAGGAGCGAAGGGGGGCGGCCGCCCCTCCGCTCGCCGGAAAACAAAGGCAGGAGCGAGGCTTGAACCCCTTTGGTTCGGCCGAAATCTGGGAACCACGGTGGTTCATGGTTCGAATCTAGGAACTGTGAGCTTACAGGTTCTTTTTTTAATTTTTAATTTTGGTTTGGTAAACGACGTCGTTTTACATTAATCAAATAATTTTTTTTTAAAGAACCACTGGTACCCATCCCAATCCTCCCACCCGTTTCAATTATTACCCCCACTCTTGCCCATAAATTACAATTCCCATCCCCCCACCTTTATTCCCATATTTCAATTTTCAAAATTGACTCAAATCCCGGGATTGAACACAAGAAAGTCCTGTTCCGTTACCCACCAAGCTCCAGACGCCACGCCAGCCGCTCCAAGTGAGGTTAATTTTTATTTTTTTTTTTTAATTTATGGTTATCGATTATAGATTATTCATATAAATACTATGATTATTGATTTTTTTTTTGAAGTACATAAAAGAGGATTCATACATTATATATATTATAGGAACTTGAATCACACATGGTCTAGTAATAAAAATTGATTGCAGTAACCGCTATAAACCTTAATCAACTTACTCAATTTTTAATTGTGGTTTAGAATAAAAATTGAATTCTTGATTATTCATATGATTGTTAGTATTGATTAATTAATTTGTGATTTGATTAGATATTACCCTATAGTCTACTCTAGGATTAAGAGTCTAAGATATTTTTTTTTCTTTTGTTATACAGTTACGTAATGGAACGATACTATACGAAACAGTGCTTAATTAAATCCTTCTTTAATTATCACGAAGCAATTCGTAGGTACTACCTCTAAAATGAACTTTGTTAACCTAAATCTCACAAAATGAATCAGGAGGTGTGAAAGCTACATGTTAATGTATAAGTTTCTTACATTAACTTTAATGTTACCGGTTGCAACCGCTTCGGTGAAGAGAGTTTTTTCTGCTATGAAGATTGTGAAAACATCATTGCGTAACAAAATGGGAGATCAATGGTTGAGTGATAACATGGTTGTTTACATTGAGAGAGATGTATTTGCTTTTACTGATAATGATCCTATTATGCGACGTTTTCATGACATGAAACTTCGCCGACAACAACTGTAATTTATTTGTATTGATTAATTATATAAGACATTCCTATATGAAAAGATTTGGTTGTTGCCATTTTTCTTTAACCTTGCACGCATATAAGTTCGCCCCTCCTCCCGAGAATTCATGCTTGTGCTTTTTGAGTCGGAATACAATGATTTGCTATGTACGCATATAATTCTCTAATACAATTGAAAAACAGAGAACTGATTCGGATTTGAATTCGAATTTTACAATGGACATTTCCCAAAACTATTGATAGTAGAGGTCAAAGTGCTAAAGATAAATCTTCAAACAATTGGATTAGTATTACAACAACAATACAACAATTCAAACCACCTAATTCCACAAAACCATGTGATTCAACTGCCATAATGTCATTAATATAGAACCACAGGAGGAATCTTGAATTTCTCCGAAAGGAACGGTATTACCTGCGGTCTCTCAACTAAATCGTGATAGAAAGCGTACTCCGCTGGATAATCGTGCAACCCAAGCTCGGCCTTCTGGCTCGTATGGTAATGATGCTTAGCTGAATCCGACTTCCCAAATCCAAAAACACTAACTTTGTCACAAATCCCCAAAGCGAGCACGATAGCCTGCATACCGGAAGAGTAATGAAACACGGAACCATCATGAACAGCAGCCCATTCCTCAAACGACTTCCCCGTCTCCTCCACAAACCATTTCAACGAATAATACTTCACGATCCTCGCACACAACACATCAAACCGCGGATCAGTCACCAGCAAAGGCGCTTTGTGGGACACATTGCATATCGTGTAATCGAAGAAATGCAGCGGTTGGCAAATGTACATGATCATTGGCACATTTAGTCCATAAGGGTGGCAAAAACAACCATCTCTCCTAGCACAAAGATGCAAAATGTTACTATTTACAAACGAAATGCTGGTTTTCGACCCAACTTTCTCCGAAAAACTCTCAATTCTAGCATTGTTCAATCGAATGACTACCTCATGACTATCAATGAGAGCTCCATGATTACTGTTCAACAAAATTCCACTGTTTCCAACAACTGCACACGACGAATAACGCCGTTGCTCCGAACCCACCAAGCCATTGTGCCTGTCAATGGGCGGCCTAACAAGTCTCACTAAATCCAACATAACATCAGCATGAAACCGTTTGTTTCTCGACCAGTCACTCAAAACCCTCCTAAAATCCAACCAATAACGATAGAACTGAGGAGAGCGGAGCATTACCGGCAATCCAACGGACGTCCTTGTTCTGATATCCTGGTGATTAAATCGCCTCCACGAAGCAAAAGTCCGGTACCGTCCGAGAAGGTTACCCTCCAACAGCTGCTCTATCTCCTTCTTGGCTTCAGCTTCGCCTGCATCAACGGCGGCGAATCTGAGCAGAGTGGCATTGAACACCGGCTTTGGCGGTTGGATTAGCACCTTCTTCTCGAGCTCAAAGGTATGGCGGACGGCGTTCCGGCAAGTCAGCGTGGCGGCGAACACAATGAGAAGGAGAATGCTGAATAATGGGCGGACCGAGCGCTTCATGGGAAGAACGAAGAGATCGTTGAAAGGGTTGATGGGGGCCGGTAAATGCGGCCAGAAATAGATGGGAGTGCAGATCTTGATGCTCTGCGTGTTGGGTTCATCCTGGTTTTCTACAGACTTTGGCATTAGGGAAGTTTTGATTTCAGAGTGGGATTTGCATCTGGGATTTTGCTGATGAGTGTTTCAGTGGGAGTGAGGGTGAGAAAACGGGTGCGTGGGATTTGGTTAGGAAAGTGGGATTTGGCTGAAAAATGAAAATTTCATAGTGTTAAATACTAAAGGGGTTGTGGGGTTTGGACCTTGGAGGGATTTGGAGGTGCTGCCAGAGAAGAACTGGATTGGAGAAACCAGCAGGTGACAAACCCCATCGGAGGTGAAAAGCTTGAGACTTTGAAAGGTGGTTTGGTTTTATTTTTTCTGGTGAGTTGTGGGAGATGCAATGCAGTGGAAATACAATTGACCACTTTAGATTTGGTGGTGGATTGAAGGTTATTGATTGGGCAGTTGAAATCTGTGATTTGGATTTGTTGAGGGTTTTTGTAGCGGGAGAGGGAGAGGGAGAGGTTTGTGGAACAGTGGAGGCATGGTCTCCTCCCCTTTTTGCAACGGGAAGGAATTTATAGGCTGCTTTTCCTTTGCAGCTCAAAGCAACGATGCAGGATGGGTGGGATTTGGGGTCGGGTCCATTTGGGCTTTTTTGCTATTTTTAAGACCCCACATCAATCTGCTGAACAAGGAAAAAGGTCGAAAAGGAATGTGAGAATAATATAAGGAAAGTGAGATTTGGGGTCGGGTCCATTTTGAGTTTTGATCCACTTTTGATTATGTAGAATTTCAATTTTTTCCGTATAAAGTTTCCATTTTTCTTTTGAGTGAGAGAATAAACTTTAATTTGGGTTTACAATTTTTTTCTTTGTAGATTTTCGAAATAGGACCGAGCCTTCAAAAGGCACTTCAAGTTCTAGAAATTGTTTTTTGTTATGCTTTTGTTATATCATGTTCTAAATTGTGCAAACCATTTCTTTAATTAGAGAAAATTAAGCAAAATCCTGCTTATATACATATTGTTATTTTAAGAAACAATTTTATTAGTATTTTCTAAGAGAAATGATAATAAGAAACTGCAATTTACTTTTGGATTTCATTCTTAACTAATTTTTGAATTTATGCCCAAGTCTAATCTACTCCAAAGACAGGCTGAGCAAAGGGAGGAAAGGTTTAAGCAGGTATGTGTGTACCAAGTGTTTTCATCAATTCTTTCTCAGAATGTGCCTTCATTATTGGTTTCAGTACTATTTTTCTCTACCTAAAAATTTGAAATAAATAAGATCTTTTCACTATTGCTTCTTTTTCCAAGTTTTTTTCTATAGAATATAAAAAAAGAAATAAATATTTGTTTCCCTTTTTCTACTTTGTTCCTTTGCAGCAAAACAAGCATGATTTTGTTGGTACTGCTTATTTAGTGAAGCAACGGCTTCATATTGTGAACTGTCTTTGTGTGTTTATTTATTCTTTACGGTTCCAGCTTCTTAAATGAAGTTTGACATGTACGGAATTTGACAATTTATAACCATAAACTTCATTTTTCCCATGGACACCTATTTTGTTCTTTCTTGTTGATAGAGTTGTAAATAAATTTGCACATGTATGTGAATAGTATTGTCTAATGTATATACATATATATAATTTTTTTTACAACTTCTACATGTGTTATACAATTTTCAATCCCCGCAGCAACGCGTGAGCACCCTTGCTAGTACTAACTACACATTCCGTAGTCATATGAGGTCTTTAGACAAATGTCTAAGTAGTTGATGAAGCGTCTTGGTAGACAAGTGATGCACACATGAGTCTCATTGGGGATGCACATAGGAGTACCTTCACCAAAACCTTGACAAGGAAAATTCAGTGGGAAAAAACCATGGTTGAAGAGAAAAAGATAAGCCATGCAATACTTGACATCTTCAAGACGTATCAAGTGGTAGAAAACGCACACAAGGGTATGACCAATGCGATGTAGGTGCCATGTTAAAACCTTGCGAGGTAGCAACGATTTAGTGGAAAAAAATGATCATGATCGAATAAAAAAAAGGTTCATTAAGGTCAAATGAGTATCTTCGAATACTCCCCTATGATCAACAAAAGTCCCCAAGAGAACTATGAGTAATGCAATTCAGACAGTTTAAGCATACTAATAATGTGGACAAGCTCCTGAAAGGTTGACTTTGACAATAACTTTATGAAGACGTCAGTGAGGTTGTCATGAAATCGGATCTAATCGAAGTAAAAAAAAAATATATATATATATATATTAAAATACTAAATTATAGGTAGTCCTCATTCTATTTTCATTTTAAGACTCGATTTGCATTGAGAAGACTCTTCTTGATGTGAAATGAACATTATCAACTCATTTATCTCATGTAGAGCCTTTAAAGAGACAATTTGACATCAAATTCGTTAAAAGTTTTTTTTTTTTTTTTTCCGTAAATGTGTTTGATTTTTGTGTCTTTAATTGTTATCATGGAGAGTGAAACTAAGAGTAGGTTTGAGAGCTTGAAAAAATTAGTGTTCAATAAAAATGTAGTGATACTCTATAAACGAATAATCTTTTTTTAGTTATAAAAGTTTTGATCTCAATCTAGACTTAGTTACATATAAGAATAAACTTCACATTATAATAAGTTATAAATTTTTTAGGTCTTATTTTAAGGAAACTTGCTTTCACAATTGTCAATAAATACACAAATATATAATATCACAAATTAAAATTTAAGATGAACTAAAATATTATATGTATTTATAAAGTCTACCTAGAAAGAAAAGCATTAAAGAGAGCACAACATACATACATGCACTAGCTTTTAGAAATGAGGTGTCTTTCTTTCCCTGTTATTTCTTAAAAATTGGCATGCTCTAGTACTAACTTAATTCTTTGTATCCATTGATCTAAAACAAAATATAATATTTTTTAAGTACACCTTTAATAATAACCTCTCTAAAATTATAAAATTGGTTTCGTCTGAAAAATTATTAACTATATAAAAGGTTTACTCATCAAACGTTAATGCCAAAAAGGAGGAGGAGGAGGAGGAGGAGGGGCCTCCACCGAGAGGGACCACCACCGAGTGTCACCTTGGCTTGGGTCCAACCTCTTTTGCGAAAGAGACGTGCATCGTTTCCATCCAAACAAAAGTTGAATAATTTTGATATAGCAATTAGGGAGGGGATGGCACTTAAATTGATGGTGACTGGAGACCTATTTTGTTTTTGCTTGGAGAGGAGAGACACTTACACTATTATAAATAAAATAATATAAGATTAGAGAACATATATTAAATTAAATCGACAAAATGTAGGGTGGAAACAAAGGACAAACCAAGAAAGAAACCAACACATTTGCCTTTGACTCAATGGAGGAATCTTTCATTGTTGGGTTAGCATTTTGAGAAGAAATAATTTAGGTGGGTGGGTTTTGTATATTATAAAGCATATCGTATGGAGTGGGTTAACACAAAGGCATTATTCTTAAATCTACTTTAAAATGTTATTAATCCATTAATCCTATAGAAAATGGCTCATAGATTCAGTCCACAACATCTTGATTGCCTAATATATTTTGAAGGGTCAATAGAGATTTTCATCGACTTGGAATTCTACTTTGTGGCCATTGAAAGATAAGGTTGTAGATTTCCTCAATGTGCCTTTTATGGTGCATATGGATACTAAAGTTGAGTTAGGGATGAAAAGGACTTACTTTTTTTAAGATATATTATTGATTTGTAACTAGGAAAAGAGTGCCAATTTTTTTAAGGTCTAATGGTATCCTCACTTATTTTTAAGTTCGATGCTCGCCATTTGGCGAATTCGAATCAATTACTATAGTTAACTTAGTGTGAGACTTAACTCATTCCTCCACCCTTAGACTATAGATAATAACATATGTATACAAATAACTAGGAAAAGAATATAGCTAGAAATATAATTTCTTCATTGTTTATTTTTTCTTCTAAAGAAGAATCTATAGTTGCCACCAGTGGCGAAGTCAGGAGTAGTCGAGGAGAGGGTCAAAATTTAAAAGGGTAAAAAGTCCCAAAGAATGTAGACAACCAAATTTTAAATATCAGGCTAGTCGAGGAGAGGGTCAAAATTTTCATGAAATGATAAAATGCAGACCCAACAGTCATTGACATGCCCTTAGAGCACTTAGGAAGCTGCAAATTTCATCAGTCTTAGAAGTGGAGCAGCTAGCAGCTCCACATACACCCCATTTTCTCTGATCTCAAACTCCCTCTCCACCTTATTTCTTCCCCTCATCCAATCCGTACACGTACAAGCTCATGATCACTCTGCCAAACAAACAAAACCCAACAAGCATAAGAGTAGAAAGATTCAATATTTGGAGACTGGGAGAGATCTCAGCAAATGGGGTCACAGTCATATGAAGTCATGTGATGGGAGAGAAGAAGAGTGTTGAGGCCCAAAAATGTCACATGATAGCCCAATCAAGTCTCGAAGCCCAATTGTTATACAAGCTCAAGTAGAGCCCAAATACATGCAAAGGTACGGATAAAGGAAGGAATATATTCATGGCCAAGCCATGCTACAGTTATTGAGCCGGACATTTATATAAATCACGCCATGCCCATGCCTATTTGTCACGCTAAAACAAGCCCAAGTCACATGTTGGAGTCTTATGAAGTGAATTATGGTGTGGATGGCTATGGGAGTTTACTGAGCCTATGTGGAGTTAAAATTATGGAAGACTTTGGGCTGCTTGGGGCAATGATCCAAGCCCATAATCTTTGAGGTCCACGTAGGTAGGTATTGAGAGAGAACCAACCTAGTTTACCTTTTTCCCTAGCAAGCTAACCAGCTCAGTTAAGACTAAACTAAATTCTAGCTCTAAGTTCACATGAAAGCCCACCAGAACAAGCATTTAATGCTAACTTTCCCTTCCTAGTTTATGCAAAAGGTCAACGTGCGAAAGCCATGAGGTGCACAACCAAAAGTAGCGCATATGGAAAGCTGACCCAGGAAAGCCGCGCCTCGGGAAGAAGACATGTTACAGGTTTTAGAGTCTAGCCTCCTTACACTAAAATAGGGGGTAGTAAGAGAATTAAGGAGAAGGGGAGGGAGAAACAAGCCCTAACTAGAGATTCCTTGGAAAGGAACTACAACTATAGGTTGAGAACCTAAAAGAAACCCCCCCCCCCCAAAAAAAAAATTCCCTAGCATAACACATAGAGCCAAAGAAACCCTGAAAAAATATCACTCTGCAACCGTAGTATTTTCCATAGCTTCCCTTTGAGTACTCCAACCATCGTAAGCTTTGTTGCTACCCTAGGAAATCCAAATTATCCAATAGAGAACACCATGCAACCATGCCAACTCTCTCTCTCTCTCTCTCTCTCTCTCTCAACATTCTAAACTGATGAATTTCTAGCTTCCACACCATGCCTCACTTGAGCGAGCCATTGTTTGCTTAATCTTGCTATCTTCGAGTCATTGATCCAACTGGGATATTTCCTAAGATGTGCTAATTCTTTTGAGATATTCCAGGACTTAGTACGAAATCAAACCAAGGGAGATAAGAGGACGTTCTCAAAGCGCAAGTCCACCTTGTTCTAAAAGTCCCCCAATAAAGATCATCGTGTTGTGGGGTAGAAAAAGTAGAAAACAGAACTGTTCCTTGCATGTTCAAAGGAATTAGAGGGGCAAATTCTTGCTCTTAGGGTAACGACCAAAGGTGCGACCGCACCTTCATGCTCTTATGTGGCTTCGCCATTGGTTGCCACTAGCACTACAATTTAGTAAAATTTCTTAGGTTCAACACCTTTAATAACAAATTTGATATTAAATTATATATATTTCGTAGATTGTGTGTCTTATCCTAAATTATCATCTCCAATATCATTATATTAAAAAAATAAGCTCTAGCCATAGGCCCACAAACTAGACAACTTTCACATTAAAAAAGAACGTTCATTTGTGCATTCTTTCTCATTGAATATTTTAGGAAAATGATAAAACACACCATTTTAGCCTCACACACATTTATATTTATGTATGTTGTTTTCGTTTGATTTATTCAATCAACAGTACAGAAAATAAAAGAGGAGGTATGAGAAGTTAAAAAGATTGAAAATCAGCTCCCTATCATTTCTTTTCTATGACCATAAAATTTCAGTTTATAGTCCTCTTCCAAATGATGATGTGCTTTCTCCATGTGTATATATATATATATATATATATATATATATATATAGGAATTGCTTAAGGGGAGGGATCCCCATTTTTTCAAAAAAATGGGGATACGCTTCCTACCGTTGGATTTGACTTTAATGAAATCATGTGGTTGAGATTCTGTGGCCTGTGTTTTAATCTCAACCACACAATTTCATTAAAGTCAATCTAACGGTGGGGAGCTGTCCCCATTTTTTTTGAAAAAATGGGGATCCCTCCCCTTAAGCTCTCTGTATATATATATGTATATATATATATTCTTAGGATGAATATTTTTTATACTAGCCCCTTAGTTTGTACTATACAGTATGATCAACGTAAAGCGAAAAAGGTATGCTCCAATATAAAAACATTAATCTTTCGAGTTCACGTTTGCATTGCCAAATTTCACAAGCAATACACATTACGCACTCGACTTTGTAATTGTGAGTCAAGTTAAGGCTTTGGTTCAAGAGACCTGGTTTCTGTTGATCAAAAAGGTCTTGGATCGATGAGCTTTCATGAGATCACAAGACTGGTAACAGAAATTAGGGCTCGACACATTTAATTGATTCTTATTTTGTGAGGAATTAATTTCACACAAGCGTAGAACAAGTGTTCCTGCAACCAAGAAATGAAAAGGTAGTGGACTTTGTCACACCAGTGTGGTGTGAGTCAAGAACTCTTTGATGCCTAAGGACCTAGCGGATGGAATGAATATAAAAGCTCTTGGTTTCTTGGTAAATGAACAATTACTTTGCATTAGCATGTATATGTATAATGGTAAGTTTGAACTTAAAGATGATTCATTGAAGCACTTGTATCGTTTAGTGACTGGTTGATTTAACCCTTTTATCTCTCACTCATCAAGTCAATAGACGTTTGACTTGAGACATGATGGAAGAATCAAATTAAGAGTTGCGTTTAGGAAAGGCTCTTAACTACATCAAACGCCTTGCGAGTTACGACTAGACACGATCATAAGGATTGTTATAACTTTAATGATTCTACAAAATCATTCCTTGTCTGATCATGGTAGGCTAAATCATTCGTCATGCCATAGACCATCTCCACCCTTGCGTTAAAACCTAAAATTTTTAGCCTAGAAAATTTAGGTTTTAACGCAGAAATAATTTTTCTCCTCCAACCCCTCTATGTTAAACATTTAGCCCGAGATGATTAAAGAATGAATTTAGGATAATTTCTTTTTAAAGTAACTTTAAAAAAAATTATGGAAACTATCCCAATTTAATTTTATGAACATTTTAACTTTAAAATATTTAGATTCCGATAAATATTAAAAATCACTAAACCGACATTAGGAAACCCTAGAACACTACGAAAGAATATGAAATGCATAAAATATATTTTTTAATTACTTTAGCCATTAGATTTAAATTTTGACCGTTAGATATTTTTTTTTTTTACCGTTGGATTTGATCAAATTAGATCTTAATTGTTGGATTCAATTAATTTATAAATATAAAACTAAAAAAAATTATACATATATGGTGGGTAGCCTCACTAACCCAGGTAAATCCTTAGCTAAATTTGCCCCATAAATGAGTTTTGAGTTTTAGCTCATATTTGGCCTAATGGTTGGAGCAAGTTGGGATAAGTTTATAACTTAAAATTTGAGTTTTACTCCAAAAATTAGAGTATGTCTTATTAGGTTTTAAGGAAGGTGCTTCGCTTTGCTAAGCCACTAGGCTCAATATTCTGCTTAGTTAACGAGGTTCGTTGCATTGGATTACATGTATCCAATACGCAAGTTCGACAAACGTGTCTCAACTGCAAAGCAAGAGGTCACATCTGATCTTCATTTAATTCTAATCCAAGTGGAGGTCGATTGTTTGCCCTCCTATTTCCATACTTTTTTCATTTCATCATGTTTGTATGATCACGGTTAAGTCACGTCAACTTTTTATATTGATTTTTTTTATATAAAAATAATAAAACAAAAAGTAATAGGAATATAAAATGTTGACGTGACTTAACCGTGACCACACAAAACAGGAGGGGATGAGAAGAGTATGGAAATGAGAGGGCAGACAATCCACCTCCAATCCAAGTGCGTATATGTTTGAATTCATGTGAGTGCTAAAAGAGAATGGATAATGCAGTTCACACACTCATTTTTATTTCTTACCGCCCCAAAATTGAAGAGAACCATACCCTTTCATTCCTATAGACATGCTCTTGGAGTATTGTGTTTTAGTATTTTTCTCTCAAGTGTGTGTCGTTTTGGGAGATGAGACATCAATTTAGGCAATTACATAATGAATATGGACAATTCTTTATTTTTTTTTTTTTTATTTTATAAAACGATAAATTTTGTTAAGTGAACCACTAACAGAGTTTAAAACCAAACCGTCAAAGAATAAAACCAGAAACCATTAAATTATGATTAAATATTTACAGAGACCAAGCAACAGCATTATCGCTCCCACACCACTCGCCAACCAACCCCGACCCGACCCAAATTTCCCAAACCACGAAAAGTAAAATGACCATTACAACCGCGACAATAACGATATTGACGGCCGCCTCCTCTCAGATCTTCTGCAGCTTATCCGCCTTGACGACCGGGTTGGCCTTGGCGATCTGCTCCTTTCCCATCCCTCTGAAGTCGAACCCGCACGCGTGCTGCTCCGGGTACCTGTGGGTCCCACAGAACGTCATCCCGCACCTGCACTGGAACCCCGTCAACCCTACGCGCCGCCGGCACGTCATGCACTTGTTTGCATGCGCCCCTGCCGACGGCGCCGCCGGCACGTCATGTTCGGCGCCGCCTCCTTCTCTTCTTCCTTCGCTTCGATCACACGCTCCACCTGCGCCTCGTGCGCGGGCGAGACGGAGACCGGCGGAGATGAAAGCAGACATGAGGAAGAGGGAGAAGAAGAGGAGGAGATCAAAGTTTGGTTGAGCGCGAGCACCTGTTGTTCCTTGAGCTGCAAGTCACGGTAGCATTTGGAACACAAATTCTGCGTCGTCGGACTTCCGAAAAAGCCGCAGTTATTAACGCATAGTTGCGGTGGCTGGCAGCGATGCTCTTCCGCCATTACGATCTCAATCCTCTGCAATCCCAAAACAATTATTCAAAAAATTTCCGGGATCAAATATCCGAGTCCGATCAAAATCTCGACAAATCATACAAATTTCCGCCCAAAACAAACAGATCCAATTAATAACACAAACAAAATACCTGTTTTGGAAACGGAATTAAGAACGCGATCGCAGAATCGATTCGTTTGTTGACGAATTTGGGGAGAAGAGGAGGAGAGAAGACCCAAGAGAATTGTAAGGGTGAATGTATTTATTGAGAGGAAAGCAAAGACAACAAAAACAAAGAAGTAAGAGGAGAAAAAGGAAAACCAGGCGGTCCCTTGGGGATTGGGATTCCTGGTCCTCAAAGGAAAGAAAATTCCAGAGAGTTTCTCTCTTTCTCTCTTCTTCTTTTTTTTTTTTTTAATTTTCTCTCCAACCAACCGCTGGTTTCCTCTCCCAATCTGTTTCTTATTAATGCGCGTAAATTATTTAAAAAAGGGGCTTTTATTGAGGCCTTTCAAGTTTTCAAATAATTAATTAAAAATTCCTTAGTAATTAATTATTTAACTACTATGGATGGCTAAGTAGTCTATGATAAATTCTAAACTTATATTTTACATTGTCAACGTTGGTCAATCTCACGATAATAATCAGGAAATACTGAAAAGTTAATCTTTCCAAGACATTGAAAAGGTGGACAGTCATAGCAAAGTCACAAGTTTTTATTTTTTATAAATAATAATTATTTAATTAAATTGGTGGAAGTCGTTTAGGCCACGGCAGGGCTTTTGATAGTTTAATCGCCACGCCAATTTGGACCAGCACCGTATGGGCCGACCCGGCCGCTCGTATCGTTTTCATGTGGGCCTTGGTGGTGGTGCTGGAGTGGGTCCCGGGGTTGAGTTTTTATCATCGGGGTGTTGCTGGCCATTGAAAGTTACAAAGCCTACTGCTGGTTGCAAGTGGTAACGCTTGTAATCATAATCATTGACTGTTATTTATTGGATGTAACGGTGTCGCATGCACGACAAAATCTTGTGTGGAGTTACGTGTGTGCTGATTGTTATGTGCGGCCGATTACGGCAAGAATTACGAAAACGGTTTACATGGTATGAATTTATTATCACATGATGTTTAGTGTTAATAGAATGAGAGTATGGCAAACGCTTTCACATATTTTAATTTGATTAGGAAAACATCACCGTGACGGTAAATTTGTGGTCTCTAGAAGTACGTAAAAGAAGATGAAGAATAATCTAGAATGCAAAGACATATTAAGTCTTTGGGCGATTCTAAGGTGAGGACAAAACGTTTTGACCATCCGTGTGGACAACTATATAACGGCTAAGAAGGGACAAGCTCAGGAGTAGAGCCGAGTTGCTGTGACTGATGCTTTTTTAAATTTTTTTATTGAGTTGGTGTCTTTTGTCTAGGGAGGGAAACAAGGAGCAAGAGGGAAAAAGGGGTTGTTGGGCGAGTGAGAAAAAACAGAGGGGAAGAGAGGCAGAGAAAGGGAGCTAGAGTTTGGAATGGGTTTGAGGTGGATTGAAGTTGGATTACAACCCTGACACGGTAATCCTATAACTTTAATTTTTTTTTTTTTTTTTTTTTTTTTGGGTTCAGTGGGTGTGTGTTTTTTGACAGCGAGCGAGATGAGAGATTAGGATTATTGCAGCCGGGAAAGAGAGGCATAGACACAGAGGTAGTGGAGGGCGGAGGTGGCAACACATGTTATCATTGATTGTTATTTATTAGATATAAGAGTGTCACATGCACGACAAAATCTTGTGTGGAATTACGTGTACGTTGATTGTTATGTCCGGCCGATTATGGTGAGAAGCACGAGAACAATTTCTATGATACGAGTTTATAATCATTTGGTTTTATATGTTAATAAAATGAAAGTATGGACAAAAACTTCCACATGTTTTTAATTGATACCGAACACCACCGTAGCAATAAATTTGTAGGGTTGAAGAATACGTGGAAGATGGATAACCCAGAATGCAAAGGCCCACTAGCAGTAGGATTAAGCCCCAGACTCCGTCTTCAAGCTTCGGACTTCTCCACGTAGGTGACCAAACTCCGTGTCCTCTTAATTCACAAGGACCACGTCATTAGACAAGGAAATGGACCACTTGACTTGATTGTATATGAGCGCCATAAAGCGTAAAGGCAAGGTACTTCCCACAAAACGCAGTTACTACATAGACAAATGACACGGATGATACATCTCGTATTTTTATATAAATGATGTACCAAACCTGAGAACTTGTAGCGATCTGTGATGTACTATTCCGTATTTCAATCACACTGAAAAATCTCTCTTTCGTAACACACTAACTGAACCAGCGTCCCATTTAATGCTCAATTGTTTGGTTCAGAAGTCAAATCCAGCGCAATCCCACAAATCTCTACACGCATTATCCGTTGACAGCCTTCAACTTGATACCCCTGTATTCAGTATTCATCCTTTCTCTCAAGCCTCCTCTTGGCACTAAAATTGAAAGAAAACTCGGAGCAAATCACGTGTTGACCTCAGTTAGACACATTTTAATTTTTGACACCAACAGTTTCCACCTTGTTCGATCTCCATCGTCCTCCACTTTCATCGCAACCACCATTGAAACCATTTTCGTCCAGATTTTCAGCCACCATACACCACAACATATTTCTCATTTTCTTTCGACATTGATGAGGAATCATGGAAAAGTACATGAATCAGGTTTTAATAATTGAATAATTTGATGCAAGTAAAAGGTACACAACTTCACAGTTAACAGTAACAAGTAACCAAATGCACATGTTCAATCCAACCTCGACGCAAAGCTTGCCTGGTGCGTGGAGCAATGCAACACCTACGATGTCTGCATTCCAAGAACCATGTTGCTGAAAATGTTTCGCCTCTTCATATTTTATGTCTCGCCCGACACCAAGACCCTCTGCTCTTCGGATTTCTTTGCTGTCTTCCATCTTTCACAGCAAAAAATGGACAGACTTAAACCTAGTTTGGGAGTGAGGTGCTTAAAAAAAAAACACCTATGAAAAAAAAGCTGTGAGGGTTTTAGGTGTTTGGTAAACTGAAAAAAAAGGGCTTATTTTAGAAGCTGCTGTGAGAATAAGCTGAAATCAAAGGAAAAAACTGAAGCTGCTATTTGTAGCTTTGGAAAACTGGCTTTTTTTCAAAGCACATGGAGCTACAGTGCTCCTTTAATGAAAAGACCCACTATCAGACTACTTTTTTTTCCAAAAGCTTTTTTACAAAAAAGTTTACCAAACGCTCTGCTGATTTATTTCACAGCCGCTTATTCTCACAGCACAGCCGCTTATTCTCACAGCAGCTTTTTTTCAAAGCACAGCAATACCAAACCAGCCCTTAGGGGTGGTTTGGGAGTGAGGTGCTTAAAAAAAAAGCACCCATGAAAAAAAGCTATGAGGGTTTTAGGTGTTTGGTAAACTAAAAAAAAAAAATGGCTTATTTTAAAAGCTGATGTGAGAATAAGCTGAAATCAAAGGAAAAAGCTGAAGCGGCTATTTGCAGCTTTGGAAAACTGGTTTTTTTTCAAAGCACACGGAGCTGAAGTGCTCCTTTAATGAAAAGATCCACTATCAGACTGTTTTTTTTTCCAAAAGCACTTTTACAAAAAAATTTACCAAACACTCTGCTGATTTATTTCACAGCCGCTTATTCTCATAACAGTTTTTTTTAAAGCACGGCAATACCAAACCAGCCCTTAAAGCCTGCCTCTTCCAAGTAGTCTTGATCTCGGGCAGTGACCATCTATTCTTCAGATTTCCCTAATTGTCTCCAAATGATTCAGAAGTTACCAGGAACAGGATATACTTATCAATACTTCATAACGAAGCCTACACTCAATATTTTTTTTCATGATATAGAATACATTAAAACTGCAAAAATATGACTTACAGCCTCCAGCTGCATGAAAATGCATGTCGACAATGAATAGAAGTTTTGTACCGTAAAATTGGCAAATGTCCTTTGAAGCCTTATCTTGCAATCCGAGGATGTACCGCCATACAAATCCATTACAAATATCCCACCTTTCTTTGACAAGGCATCAAGAACATGCTTGATATACAGAACCAGTTCAGCACGTTGATTGAGACAACAGCTGTAGTTAAAAGCACACACAATCCTCTAGCAGGCAACAGATGGTTTCTCAAGGACTTCTCATGATGTGAGGAAGAAGAGTCCTCTTCAAGAGTAGATTTCAATCCACCACTCTCCAAACCATCTCTGTTCACAGTGAGTGAAATGTTTCCCCTCTGCTTCTCGGCTCAAACTTAATTAGTTTGGCCTCAAAAGATTGCAAGACATTCCCGTGAAAGAGGGACATTCTGCAATGTCCATCGACCACAGCTTTATTTATGTCATTCTCCATGCACCGCTTCCGGGTCCAAATGCAACCCTAAAGCAGTCCTTTCCGGGTCAGTATGGAGATCTGTACTGTCAAACACAGAGTGAGTTTTAGGTCTTTAAGACAGTCTGACAGAGAACATAGACTTTTTACATATGAAACTGGCCAATTTGCTCTCCACAGTGCGGATAGATACCTTAACAATAATAGAATATGAATCTGGCCACAAGACACCGCTCTAGTTATTTATAACAGTTGGAAGAATTTTGAACATGTACATATATATGACCCTGTGAACATATCAACCAGGTTGTAATATCACCATCTCTTCTTTTAAGTTTCAACTGATCTGCGTTAACTCATTAGCACTAAATCTCCTTATATGGCAACAGGGGAGCTGTGGATCGAATTACCAACCCCTACAGCTTTCGATATTACAACTAACCATGCATAATATTACTGGACATGATGTTTTTATAAACAAACAGTCTTAATGAAAACCTAGTGGCAGCAAGTCCTCAACAAAAGACACCAAAATGGAAACAATAAAGCTTCCAGTTAGAATGCAAATATGCGATAACTAGTTTAAAACCTCTGTTCAGATATGTCAATAAAAAGGATAGTAATGTACCTAAGAAGGGCAGTGCCGCGGAAACCTTCTCACAGATGAAGAGGTAACCTCCCAGAGTCCCACCCACAAACATCAAAACGAACTTCTGCAAATAGCTTGTCTCCTTTCGGCGACTGCATATAATCTTTTTGGTCAATAAATTAGCTTGTCTTGTCAATTATTTTACTCCACATCTACACCTCATCTACACCGCATCTACCTTGTCTTGTCAATTTGCTAACTAGTTTGCCAACCAATCCATTTAGAAGCAAAGCATGGAAGGCAAAATTTGCTATCCAATTTGCACTTTTTTGTTTGGGATTTCACTAATATAAGGATGATGCATTTTCGAAGATATGAAACCCTAAAAGAATGGGGTAGGTCTCATCCCTTTTGGCGCCTAGTCTTGAAGAGAATCTCAAGGCCAACATGCTAATGCCAACTGGGTTTACAGCAACGTGTGGTAAAAATATGATTTTTGACGTGGTACAATACTAGGTATGTTCCAATTTTTGTTTTAGTTCAATTGCAGAAATTTCACAAAATTTTCCCAATGTGTGCACACGACATGCATATGTTGTGTAGGTTGTGTAAATAAGGTTTGCATGTCTTGCGCATGGCATATTATACGATATTTCAAGGTGATATGCATATTATGTAAATTTAATGTGCATTTTGTGTGCATATAA